ACTTTTCCACCATCCTCAGTTGGGCACAGAAATGACCTGAAGGAATTCTCTTTGGAAGCTACATTAAATCGCACACCTAGAAAGATTCCACCTCACAATAAATACCATCAATATTTATGACTTATATGTAAGTCTATTACAATAAAATACCTTACCATCAATACTTTATTGTCCACGTCAAAAAAAAAGAGAGAGAGAGAGAAAGGGAAAGAGAAAAAGAAGATAAGGAGCAAAAGTCACACAGCAGGGCAAGTATTCCATTATCCAAAATATGTTGTGATTCAAAAATTATCAGTTTAAGGCCCATAAAATTTAAGCATTTGGGCTTCTGGGACAACTTTCCCACCCCAGCGTGGCCAGTACAGGAAACATCAGATGTGCACTGGGTGCCTAATCACTTTCGAGAACAGTTCCAGGCTCTACTTCCTCTCATGGATTTCAGTCTAAGTCTTTGTTCCTTCACCTTTGTTCCCAGATATGTCTCTTCTGCAAAGCTTTGCTTTGAAAATTTGTTTGCCAAACTTAAAATCTCTCCGATTATCCCATCTTGACTCCACTGGCCATTTCTAACCAATCCCTTGACTGAGTTTCAGTTTCCCTGAACCCTTCTTGCCAGGAGAGGAGATGAGCAAATGTTTTGCTTTGATTTAGACATACATAAAAATCTATTAAACACTTCTGTCTTCCTGTTTAAGATAATAAAAATTAGTGTCTCAGGCATTTAAGATTTTTTTGCAGCCCCTAACTGCTCATTAGCAATGAGAACTGCACTAAAATATAGGGTAGGATCAACTTATAAACATTTTCAGTAAATAAAATTTATGAAACCAATCATTCTCCATAGAAATTCTGGAGCTCTTTTATTCTTAAAATTCCTGAATAATAATACTGGTCATCTCCAGTTAGGTGCTGTGGCTAATGACTCTGAGGTGTCCTATAAAGAATGTATGAAGTTTCCTAAAAATCTAAATTAATGTTTTCACCTATTAGAAGTTAAGCACTGGAAATGGAGTTGCGGCATACATTTGTGCAGGTGGTGCAATCCCCCAGGAATATGCAGGGGCTGAATGCCAGACACTATGCCCACCTTCTCTGCTTGCCAAACCTTGCCCCTTGAAACTGAGAGGAAGGACCACATTGTTGCATTTCCTCGGCTGCACAGAGACTATCTTTAAACAAATTGTTAATAGACTAATAAAAGGATGTAACTATTTGTGAATGAAGATTGAAAAGCTCTGCATTTGATAAAGTATTTACGTAGTGAATACTTATATGGCTGAAAAGGGAAGACTCTCCCAGATTTTGGTATGTACTATGAATATTTCAAATTTTTTCATATTTACTATATGCTGAGTATTGTAGATTTCTCATGGATTACAGACTAAGTATAAGCTTTCTATACTATAAACAGTATATTACATTTTCTATGATAATTTCATAGAATCCTTTAAGATATTAAGAAAATGCTAACAGGGCTGTCTGGTGAGCTCAGTTGGTTAGAGTGCAGTATTGTAACACCAAGGTCAAGGGTTCTCATCCCTGCCACTGGCCAGACACACACACACAAAAAAAAAAAGAAAAAGAAAAAGAAAAGAATGCCAACAAATATAACAAAATTAGTTTAATGAATTTAATATCCTTTAATATCTTCACTTATTGATGTTCATGCTAATTTCCTAGAAAATTTAATAGCTTATATGTACCAGAGCATTTAAAACATATAAATCAGCTATTAAATTATAAAATTATTAGTATTTTCTATTTATTTATTTATTCATTCATTCATTCATTTATTCATTTATCATTTATTTACTGCCTTTCCAAAAAGCATTTAAGGCAACTTTCTATGATGTTATTAATGGTTCCATGTGCTTCTTCAGATGTGTTCTATTGTAATTGAGCTTAGCTATTGTCTTGAAATTTTATGTTATCAGAGAGAATTGCAACATTGTAAAATGTCAGTTCAAACTACCATTTTTACTACTTAGACTAATACTAGAATGAATAAATATTTCTACTGGGGGAAAAATAAAGACTAGGGTTTACTGAGAAATTGCTATGTACCTGGTGCCATGAGGTACTTTAAATATATATTGTCTCACAATTTGTAAAAACCCTCCAAGAACGTATTTATCTCCATTGTATAGATGAGTAAACTGAGGCTCATTTGTCGCACAAAAGAACTCACCTGTATCTGCATTGTTTTAGTGTTATATCCCTGCAACTAGAATAGTAGTAAGTAGAATTTAAATGTGACTCTGCTTGGTAGCCAAGTCCCTGCTCTTTCTACTATGTGATGCCTTCTCAAATGTTTATAAAACCCGACCTTTTCATAGAACATGACTCATAATAGTTGATAAAATTCTTTCATATGCATTATTATCTCACATCATCTTCAAAACAATCCAAAGAAGTGGATATTACGGGATGGAAAGAAGAATACAAAAATAGAGTATATTAACTAATCCAAAACATATCATGACCCTAATCATTCCCTATGTGCTACAGGTATAGAGCTCTCTTAGCTAGCCGAGCTTAACGAATTCTGGTAATTACCTTGTGCTTTTTTCTGGTTCACTTGCATTTCCTGAGCACTTGATATTACCAAAAAATATGTTTGGTAGCACTGAAAGGCTAAAGGTTAGAGACCCAAGAAAATCAAACGTTAATCATCAAGGCCAGTGCAGCCCCAGAGACAACTCCCTAACTAACTTGCCTAACTCCCTGTCTGCAGGTGTCTGGCTGCTGGTATAAAATAGTGTAGTGTCTTCTACACTGGAGAAATTGATCATTTTCTCTTCTTGCTCTTTTTTTCTTAACTTCTACAGCCATATTTTATACCATAGCATCTACTGCTTATTGGCTTACTGAATCAGACAGTAATATAAATTAATTATAATTTCAGGGGAGGGGAGGCTGAAATTATGGAAGCACATATATGAAATAATATTTTCATAGAATTTTGCCTGAAAGAAAAAGAGAGAGATTAATTTTTAAACTAGTGAAGAGCCTAGGTCATAATGATATTAAAATTTTGACTAAAGGGATTTAGCTTTTTTTTTTTTTACACCAAAAAGAATTTTGCAATTTTTGATTGCTCTCTAACAGTGACTAGGAGTCGTGTCTGGGCAGCTGAAGCAATTGTGGTAGAAGAAGTAGAGGCAGAGATGAGCATGATATGGAAGAAAAAAAGAAAACCTGTGTTGAATTCTGGCTACTTCTCAAAAATCTGCATTGCACAGGCCTAACCAGATGAACATATTTTTTATCCCACTTCACTGACAAAGAAACCAAGCCAAAAAAGACATAGGCACTACTAAAAATTCAAAAAGAAAACACTGGTCAGTAGTGCTTAGCCTGCGTAATTACATTTTAAATGCTTCACTTTAGTGTTTTTATTTGCCCTATTTTAATATCTAGAAAAGTTGTGTATGGGCATATACAAACATTAACCTGGAAAAGGTAAAGACTAGAAAACCAATGCTTGAAAACAGGCAGGCAAGCATTGAATAGCTACCTAGTTATTTTCAAGTAATATGTACTTTAAGTATGTTATCTACATTTTACTTTTCAAAAAAAACTCAAATTCATTCCTAACTAACCCAGGAGATTAAATTCAGTACCTTTTTCCTCTTTTTCACACTTTCTGACAGGCTTATAAAAAAAGAATTCATGTGGCTAAAGTACAAGAAGAAAACTGAGTTATCTCCTTACTTTTCATTATATCCATTAGACCCTAGTAAGACTTCATCCAGTGTCGCAATAAATCCTATTTTTAAATATTTGCAAGCAGTGATTTTTAAAAATGCATGTGGTCAGAATGCCGGTAGGGTGGTTATACAATTGTTTTTTTAAAGGACAATAAATTAGGACCACTCAGTATAACCAGATGAAATCTGAAAAACAGCCCATTTGTGGCATGTTATGAAGAGAATGGCCCAGTTCTCCTTTTCTAGGGTTGGAGAACAATTTCTCAACATACAGCTGTACACACATGCTCTAACTAGTCTTTATCAGTAGGGATCCTCCAGAGACCATGTGCAGAAAATGGCATAGGAAACACTATCTCAACCTTATAAAAATTCCCTAGGAAACCAAATAGTACTTGTGTATCCTGTAGGCTAGGGGAGGAAAACACCTTTGCAAAAAAATTCCTCCACTGTAGGCTGTCTTTCTGATGGTGTGTAATTGCTTGCTATTACACTGGTTAGAATATGAAGTCCCCCCAAAATAACTAATATTAGTAATAAAAAAGACAGGGGTATTGTTATTTGTTAAAAATAATGAGCAGGAAATCAGCCAAAAATAAAATATTTATGAAGAATTTAAACTATAATATATAAGTGATCTAGATAAATAAATAAATTTGGTAATCAAAATAATCATGATTTATTTACACTTTGATTCTAATAGCATAATATTTTCAATCTTGCTTTAATCTTTCCCTCAAAGTTGTCTGTAGATAATAGCATAGTACCATAAATCTTGCAATATGCCAATGTTAACACTGTTTAGGATTAATGCAAAGCAAATTCTCCCAGAATCAATATAGCCTTAAAATTTTTTTGGTTATGGCTTGGAATATTGGAAATTACATGCTATGTATTATATGGTTTCAATTTATATTTCAAATGGTAAGATCATACTAAAGAAACAAATTAAGCAAGATTTAAATGTTGTGGTTTTTAACAATTGGTTAATTTTATTCTGATTATTTTTATTCGGTTGTTGTAAATAATCCAAATTTTTCTTTAAAAATTCAGTAAATAGCTCTAAGACGGTTATTTTAATTATATTTATATTTCTCAATGATTCCAAAAAGCTGTCAATTTATAATTCTTACCCAGTAAATAGTGTATAATAATATTTCCAGTTCAGGATATATGTTTTTCTGCAATTAAACAAAATTAATTTTACCATAATCATTAGGGACTCTTTTCAGAAAACTATGGTAAACTTCTATTACATCACTAAAAAATGCCATACCATTTTTGCAATAGACCCCGTCCCAGCAAAGCAACATTTTAGACAATGGACAAGAAGATGTATCTCCTAGTGGCCAATGGAATCCTTATCCACTTGGGAGGCGGGATGTACCTCCGGACACCATTACTAAAAAGGTAAACAATTTCAAATTGATGACACAACCATGAATCTTGCACATCCATTGCAATATGTAATCCATATCTTGTGTCTTAATCTCATTTCTAATTTTGTGACAACTTTGGACTAAATATTATCCAACTAGAGGGAGTTTGCTTAACTGTAAGTGCATTGAAAGAAGTGAAAAACGAACACTGCTAAGTGTTCAGAGTTAGTAATGAATGTTTATAAACAACATCTTGCTACCTCTCTGCAAATAATACCACGTCTTACTAGAGCCTGCCACCCCACCTTTGAAGTGCAAGTACAGAGAGTTGTGTGACATATACTTCTGAATCTTTTGGCTTCAGCAGTATGCTATAGCCAATTTGCATAAAATGAAATTTGACCACAAATGATTGATTCACCATTTCTAAAGTTATAACAATTCATTCAACAAACATTTAGTATGCAACTGTACATACACTACCATGTGCTGAGCACTGGCTATATCCTGAGGAAGCAAAATATGAAAAAGGTATGGTTTCTTACCTCAAGAACCTTTTAGTCTAGAAAAGTATGCTGAGTGATATGTAGATAATTGTAATACTACTTGATAGGTCACCATAACAAAAGCCACACGTAGGAGAATATATTTGCAATATATACGAGGGACATGGGATTTGTATTCTACAATATGTTTTTTTTAAACTTTTACAAATCAATAAAAAATTTTCAAAATTGGTAAAATACAAGGGGAATCAGGAAGATAAATAAACATTAAGACAAAACAACTTTTTTATCAGTCAAGGAACTGCAAATGAAATGCCATTTTATATTTACTAGCCTAGGAAAAATGAAGAAATCTGAAAAATACAAGTTGTATGCAATGGAAACTCTTTTATACTTCTTTTGGGAATATAAAGTACAATCATTTTGGTAACAACCATTTTATATTTACTAGCCTAGGAAAAATGAAGAAATCTGAAAAATACAAGTTGCATGCAATGGAAACTCTTTTATACTTCTTTTGGGAATATAAAGTACAATCATTTTGGTAACAAATTGTCTTCTAAGGCTGAACATGCACATACCCTACATTCCAGCAATTCTCCCCCTAAAGTATTAAATTCTTGTACATGTCAGTCAAGAAATTTGTAATGTTTACAATACCAGAAAACTGGAAAAACCCTTACAGAAGGGTATGTAAATAAATTGTTACACAAAGGAATATCTCACATCAATAAAAATAGTAAACTATAATTACGATAATATGTTTAAACTTTAGAAACAATTTGAGTGGGAAAAAGTTTCATGAGATGACATACATCAGGAATACCATATTTACAAATCTCAAAAACAAGAAAAACTAAAAATATACTGTTTAGGCATATATATAAGCTCACGAGTAAGAAAGCTATAGTTAGAAGGGAATCGTAAATGTAATATTTAAAATTATGGCTACCTCTAAAGGGAAAGGACAGGTTAGGATCAGGGAGGAAGCTGATATAATTGTTAGTAGTGTTCTAGTTCTTATACAGAGTTGTGATTCTTACACTCTAGTTTTTAAGGTCATGAGTGTTTATTTTACAATTATGCTTCAGAATTTACATAAATGAGCATTACATACTTGCATACATTGTTTGTAACCTGGGTGACTTTTTTCCCTTGATGATTACTTCATTGGTTTTTAAAAGTATATTAAACATCAAATTGTATTATTGAAAATAATTGGTAATGCCACCGATTTGCAGGTCCTACTCATGTTATTGATTTGCCTATTGAGTAATATCCAGCACTGCAGGTAAATGTAATATGTTGTGAGTGAGTGCTATAATGATGGGATACAGGGCCATGACAGGACCTGGGAAGGGCATCTGCTTAGTAAGGAAACTAAAGAAATTGAGTAGAGGATAGTGGTTTCAAATAAGGCTACAGTGATAAGCAGAAGCTAGATTATGCTGGGCTTAATTTATTCCATAGGAAATGGGAAGGGGAACATCGAAGGGTTTTACACAGGCAAAGAACGTGATTGAATTTTCATTTAGAGATCATTCTGACAGCTTTTCTTTATGAGGAAAGAGGAGAGAATGAATGGATGGCTGGATATTGAGGGGGTACCCATTGGAGCTGGGGGTAGGTTGTCTGACCAAACTAAGGAATTATACTCACTTACATAGTTGCAAAGGGTTACTATCATCTTACCTTAAAAGGAAAAGTCTTGTTCATTTATTACTCTAAATGGAACTAACAGTGTTTACTTTATCCATCCATATATCCATTTTACATGAAATCTATTTTCAAAGTCCATCATATTACATTTAATTATCTCATCAATGCAAGTCATAATGAACACTGCTTGCCTCCTTACTTGCTTTAAGAACCCCATGCAATCCTGTGATTGATTAAACGTTTGTGGGCTGGTTAACCTTATTGAAAGCTAAAATAATTGTTTAATGCATCTGAAAACTTTATTAAACTTTTATACTTCTTGTCAAAAGTGAAATAATATACTATGTCTTTAAAACTTTATCATGTCTTTAATGTATAAAATCATTTGTATCTTCCTACTGTCATGATAAGCAGCTTCTGACTACCCCATGTTATAGCATTTTGTCTAAAATCTGAGATTATAGAACCTATAAAAAGAAATGTTCACCTGCTTTAGTTGAATGTCAAGTTAATATTCAGCAAGAATCAACCTAGGGAAATGAAAATGGCAATGGGAGTATTAACCTGGGCTGCAGAATTTGCTGAAATAAGTGTGATAATTGTATTATTATTTATAGGGTTTGTATTTTAGTCTACAATGAATGTTTTTAAAAGTTAATGTTACTTTTGCAGTTGTCATGGAGTGAGTAGTCATTAGGCTAGACACGCAACTACAAACTGAATAAGGAATCAAAGGCAAATAAGCAGTGAAGAATTGTTAGCTAGTGCCCCATTTGAGTCCATTTCTGCAAGCCTGAATCTTATCTCTGTGTCTAAACCATCAGAAACTACTGTGGTACTGTTGGAATTTGATGGGAAGTCCTTTTTACAAGGTTTTGACTGAATTTGTGGCTCTTTGTGCAGACATCACAGCTTTTTGCTTGAAGTGATATGGGCACACTCGTGGCCATGCCTACCAGCACACCAAGCACCTTAGAAGAACAGGTGTGGGAACCTTCTAAGCTGTGGGTCTAAAGATTTAGAGAAAATATAATTAAACAAAAAGTGTTCATCTCAGAAAGAATTTTGCTTCTCTGTCTACTGTCACTCTCCTGTATACCCAAGACAGAGGTTAAGTGGTGGCAAAATGTTAAGGGTATTCAATCCTGTGTTGTTTTTATAATGGTATAATAATAGATGGTAGATTTTTTAATCCTTACTGGCTATGTCAGTCCCCAAAATCTCAAGTTTTAATGTCTATTATTTAAAAAGTCTAGGAGTCACTGCTAAAAGAACATTTCACAGCTATGTAAATTATTCTCCACCCTGCACCGCCAGATTCCAGGCAGTACTGTATGAGCACTTAAGAACTGCTATTAAAAACTTTTGCAATGTCTGAAAACTATGGTTTCAGAAGCAGTATTTGTATTTTAGAGTCCTGTCACATCACTTCTCTCACTCCTGTAGTCTAGTGGATTATGCCACAGTCATTATGGCAAGAATATTAGGTACCATGCAGTATATCTTTACTTTATGTCAGACATTGTGCTAAAGGCGTTTGTGTATTTCTTCATCTAATCCTCACAACAACCATATGAAGTAAGCACTACTATTTCATACATTTTGTGAAAGAAGAAACTGAGACTTAGAGTTTCAGTAACTTACCAAGCTCACACAATGACTAATAATTTTAGATTACTCTCCCATATGGAACAGAACATAATATAAAGGAAATAGTGTAAAAGATAAATGCAAAGGCATTGTTATTTCAAATTCAGATGTTACACTGATTTGGCCAAATCCTCCATAGGAAAGACAAGATTGTTTATCTCTAATTTTAAAACAACAGAGTCTTTTATAATTATTAGGAATCTTAAGCAGGTTAAATATCCTTGAAGAGATTTAAAATTGAAGGCTAATACTTGTAAGGATATGTTAAAATGGTGGAGCAGAAAAACATTGCAGCAAAAAGACTGTGGTGACATATTAAAACAAATAAAACTTCAAATACTTCCCTTCTGGAATGGGTAACCAAGAGACTACAAAACCCCAATATGAAATCTGACAGTTCTTTAATATGTAAAGACTTGGCATTCAAAGGTCTCTTGGCATTAGTGATTTTTCCCTCCCTGAGGGTCTGTTTCTTCCCTGAGCATTCTAAGTTCAACACATAACCACTTGGCAGCTGGAGTAATAAAGATGGGTAAAAGGTCAACATCAGGATGGATACAAAGAGAAAGGTATAAAAAATTTGCTGATTTAGTCTTGGCTCACAGACTTAACCCTTATGCTGAACTTCTGTGATTTTTTCTCCCATCTGCTCAGCTGTTAAGGGCTTCAGGATTTCCAGGGTTGTCGTCTCTGAGGCATGCGCAGGAACTTATCAGGAGAAAGTAGAAGAAATTTTACAGGGTTATTTTCATGTTCTTATTATACTTTCCTTCCCCCACCCCACCTCCAAAATGTATTTTTTGCTTTTGTAGAGCCATATGAAGTATTTTTAAACAAATTTTTAAATTAGGTTTCTGGAAAGAAATATTCATTGCTTATTTAATTTTGGTATTTGTCATTTTTTTAATATAATGCATTTCAAAGTTTTTATGCAATATCTTTTGAAAATTAAAAGTTGTTTCACTATTGACCATAGGGCCAAATCATCATGTGTTTTTTAAATCAACTGGATCAAATCTCTACTGAGATCGATTTGTCACTTGGTAACAAAAGTCAGTCTATTGTAGACCTTTTCAAAGGGTCATTTAAGAATGACATTAGGGTAAACTAATGTCATTTTAAAATAAGTAGATCCTTAAAGTACAACATAAGAAAAATCACCTTCACCTACACATTTAGGAATTTCTTTTTCTTTTTTTTTTTCTTTTGTTTTCTT